AATTCTGATGTGCTTGTGTATTATGTTATCTCTCCCCTTTAAAAATGTGCATTTTCCTCATCTCTGAAAGGAGGAAAAGATGTTTGTTTTGGTTTTCATTTACATCCATGTTAACAACAGATCAGCAGTGAATAAACATGGTTGACATGTTTTCTTCTTTGAGGTATCTGTTATGTACAGGATGGCAGCTTAGCTTCCTTGGTGCCATTTGGCTTTGTGGAGGGAAAAAGCTTTTCAGCTCTTGACTTGAGGGAGTGCCTGTTTATAACTCGTGCTGGGGATGAGACTAGAGCTAAAATAGCATCCTCGTTGGTAGCATGGCATGGAGACTCACCTAATCTCAGTTTTGCTAAGAGGAAGGACTTCCCAGGCCTCAGTAGCTCTGTTCCAGCAATGTTGGAAGTACTTGGTAGGTTCTATAGCATCTGGAGCCAAGTTCTTTAAAGTAAAATCTTCAAGGCAGAGTTTGAGCTGACATGAAAACTCTTGAGTTGATGTAAATCTAGCTCTCTAATCAGTTTTCTTGTGGGGCTGCAGCTGAAAGTCTGTGTCCTGCGTCTGTATTGAGACCTCAGTTGACTCTGCGTCTTCTGCATCATCTGATCTGTATCATAAGATGACAGAGGCATCTTAATCTGAGACCTCAGTTGACTCAAGATTTCAACGCTTGAATTTTTGGGGCACGATTCTAGCTGTGTCTGTGATGTGTTATCTTCACAAAGCAGTGCAGAAGACCAACTGCAGGAGATGGCTGCCTTCCAGGGCATAATTTTTGAAGTCCCTATTTCCAGACTGCATTTTTGGCAAAGCTTCCAGATCCCTATTTCCAAACAAGTGTATAAATGGACAGAATTGTAGAAAACATTGGAATTATTGTACCTTGACAAAACTGAGACGTTTTCTTCAAGTCAAAGCAACCAGCTATGATCCTGAACTACCTGAAAGTAGGCCCTGCTTTGAGCAAGTGGGTAGGATCAGGTGATCTCCAAAGGTCCCTTCCAACATAAATGACTCTATTCTAGGATTCTGTGATTAGTATATTCCTAAGGAAAACAGCAGCTTACTTAATGGAATCAGATTGTTGTACTTTTTCTTTAAGCTTATCGTAAGTGATTTTGATTTGATTGTCCTCAAGAACTCTGTGGCATCCACAGTGAATATTGTTCATTGCAAATAATTGAAGCCTTGTTCTGAATTTGTTAAAGGGCAGTGATACAGAATTTTGTCGTCCTTTTTGTCATACAAGTCTCGGAGAATATCGGCAGCCCATTGTACAAGTGGCTCCATCTCCCATTCCCTACTTGGATGTTGGCTATAGCTAGAGTGCAGACAACATCTGCTTCTGGTGCCTGAACATATATAAGAATTTATTCCTCTGTGATTGCAGTTAGTTGAGTTGCTAGGTCTCTATACCTGCTGTTCCAGACAGGTTTTTCCACTTGACATATGATTTGGAAAAAAATGTTTATAAATTTATAGTTATCATTAATTCAATAATAACTAACTCACTGATGAACATGAATGGCACGATGGTTAAATGGTAGAAATTTTCCTCTCTATGGATGCTTAAATTCACTTTGACTGAGATTGAAGTTCCATTAGGTGATAAGGATTATCATAAAAACGTGGAAAGCCCATTAAAGGTTCGTTACTACAGGAAAGAATATTCTGTTATATGGGACAAAGCTTGTTTTTTCAGCAGTGATCTTTCACTTGGATTGTTCTTTTCCAAGCTATCTCAAATCCTGTTGAAAAAATTAGTCAGTGCTTTCTAGTTAATAACAACCACAGTGTTTTTTATATTACTCTTCAAAAATGTGTGATCTGTTCAGTTAGATGATGTGATGTGATAAGTTCAAATGTATCTTGTTCTCATAGAATTAGGTTCTAATCTTCCAGTATTTTTGCCTAATGACAACAATCTGGAAATGTTGGCCTAATTAGATTTTGGGGTTGGTTTCTTTATTCAGCAGCTGAAAATTTTACTGCACAGGAAAAAGTGGTTCATTAAATACTTAGAATAATTTTAAGTCTGGGATATTTTATTTTTTTTATTACTTACAGATATTGTAAGTTTTATTACTTACAGATATTGTGTGACAGATATTGTATTCTGTGTGGTGTGGGAGAATAAAGATGTGGATCATAGGAATTAACTGATCTGGGTTCTTGTTCACAATTTATTCCTGAATTTTTAATTTAATTGAAGGCAAAACATGTTTAAAGTCTAGGAAGTAAGTGAAAGAACAACATGTAAAGATGACTGGTGGGCCAGTTTTTACTGCTCCATAAATGAAAGAATGTGATAAATTGCTTCTTTGTCCACAAGTACACTTACTTTAGGCACAGTGTAGCACTGCACACTCTGACATTAGAGATCATTCTCTGCCCGAGTAGTCCCATAGCCTGTCAGGAGAGCAGAAAGGATGCTGTTGAACACCACGCAGTTCCTTCTCATTGACAAATGGATTATCTCCTGTTGCAGAAATCCAAGGGGTTGATAGGCTCTGTACATTTATATACACCGTTTTGACTCCTCTCTTTCCCATCCGTGTAGTCATATGTGATCTACGTGTATCACATGAACCATGCCTGAATAAACATCTTCAAGACGTAAGACTTGGGACTTTTTTCTTCAAAATAGGCACAAAGAATCATCCAAAGAAAAACCACCCAAGAGTAGTTAAACAATAAAACTAATGCTATGAAATACCCTTTATGCCTTCTTTGCTCCTACTGAAGTGTTCCCTCAAACACTTTTTCATGAGGAAAGATTCCTGATATTTATCATGCCTAAAATGAAGGGAAGCTCAAGACATTATTTTTATGAACCAGAATATAAAGCATAAAAATGAGTCACCGTGACGAAAAGGGAGTGCCTAATTTATTAGGCTGTGGTGTCCTAAGCCTTTTTGGGGCAAGAGGGGTGGGGGGGTTGTTTGTATTATATGGCATGTGAGGATGAAGAGGGTCGATTTAAATGTTGATTGATGTAGACTGATGATCCTCTAAATATTCCCCAAGTTATCTCTTCCTTCTTCAGGCTGATTAAAAAGATCTAGGCAGTCCACTTCTTTGTACCTTTTACATGAATGCTAATGGATGTTTCTCTAGGGAAAGTGCATATCAAAAAAACTTAATGCAAGATAGACAGACTCCCAAGGAATTTGCAAAACTATTACAGATTAGCCTGCAGAGAATTCCTGTCCTTGATTTATTCCAAATGCATTCTTTTCAACTCAGTACAAAGTTTTGGAACTGGCATCTGCGTCTTTGTGTAAGGTTTGCTGCAGTCATTTTTCATCAGATGTCAAATGAAAGACTCCAGTGATTTAGTTGATCTTTTGAGATGGTGGTGTTTTTCAGTGGCACTGGGGAAAAACAAAGCAAAACAAAAAAACCCCAAACAGATGTCCTACTTGAAGACAACAGGAACCAGGATATAGTTTGGTTGCATTTTCTGTATGTTTTTGTAAATGTACAGAATTAATTTTTTTTTAATTTTCTGTGCAATCTGAGAAGATACATTTACTTTTTCACGTGCAGCATTGTTTCTGTAACTGACTTGGTTTGGAGATGTAGTCTTCGTCACGTAGAGTGTACAAAATATTGAAAATAAGGAAACAACCTCTGAAAAAAGGGGAAGATTTTTCACTATGGGCTCCATTGACAGCTTTAGGAACAAGTACGTTAATACTTAGTATATGTTCAGTCTGAACAGAACAGGGAAACTAGAATCCAGAACTTTTGTCCTGGCAGTATAGCTTCTGAAAAGCAGATAGCAAACAATTTCTTTTTCCTACACAATCAGATCTCTTTTTTTTTTTAATGAAAGAAAAGTTTTATTTGTGGAGGTTAACTCATAAAATGTTTGCTGCAGATTCCAGGAAGCACCTTTGAAAAATATAGAAGTATTTCTATAGTTGTCAGAATGGACTAAGTACATTTTGTAAACTAAAAACTAATAGTTACAGGATCTGACCATTATTCTCTGGAAATTAAAAGCAGAGCTAATGGCACCACTGCAAAACTCATTAGCACCGTGGCAAACAGAGTTGGATCAAATCTACCAATGATAAGATGTAAGCACCTAACACCTGGGAGATTCCCAGAGCCGCTCAGGCTGGCTGCTTTTCAGTGTAGCTTGCCTTACGTACACCTAAACTGTTTGTTTGAGCATTTTCTGGTTTTGCCTAACAGTTGCCTTTGCATTTAACTATAGATGGCTGCAATATTCAGAAGGGGCTGTTCTAAGGCAAAGGCAACTTATTTTCCTAAAATGCTCCATTGTATTTGTCCTAAAGCAGATGGGTGGCACCAAAAATCTGCTGAAGCTTTTTAAAGAAAACATAACAATTAAACGTCTTAAGGATGGTAACTGCATCATTACTGGGGGTTTCTACCTTTGCATCATCTTACTCTTCTAGTGCTTGTCCAAGAAATAGGAAGTCTGGGTTTAATTATATGTGAGGAGTTGTGTTGGGCAGACACCGTGCCTGTGCTTGAGCTGGCCAAACCTTACAGTGAAGCAGTGCCTGATAGAGGCACCTACACCAGGTGGGCTGTATCCTGTACTTGTTGGTGCTGGGCATTAACCCTGGTGCAGCTGGGCCATTGGCTGCAACATCAGAGAAGAAAGACAAGGCACCATCCATCTTTAGGTTTCTTTAAGCAGTGCGGAGGTTTTACTCCCTTCTGTCAGCCAGACACCGACTTCTTTATTCCTAAGCAGCAGGATGAAGGTTTGAACCATAGTCTGTTTAAATGGGAATCACCACAATTGGGTCATGCCCGTTTGTACTGAAATATGTACAGAGGAAAGGCTGGTACCCAATGTTTTGTTATTCTGTAGCTCTACCTATTGTAATTGATTTTTCTGCCTTTTCATGCAAGATCTTGTAATAAATCGGTGCCAAATTTAAGTTGTAAAATGTTTAATTATTCTGTAGTAATTGTTAAGGGGTTTGTTATAATAGATACCTTTTTCTCTTTTGCTGTAGGTCTTCATTACTTCAAAAACATTGTGTTAGTAGGATCCCTGCAGGATCGTTATGTTCCTTATCACTCCGCTCGCATTGAGATGTGTAAAACAGCTTTAAAGGATAAACAATCAGGTAATAAATATCCTGAAAAATAAACAGACCACTCAGGTTAAACCTCATAGGTCTCAGATTCCTCCCGTTTAAATTTGGGTGCTTAACTGAGTCACCTCTGTTATATGATTCGACACTCTCAGCTTACTCTGTAGTAATGGAGAGAGAAAATCCATGTGGGAGCTGAATTGCTTTCTGGATCTGTCACGTCCTATTACATGCAGGAGGTGAAACTGAATAAATTTCTAGCTTATAGACTTTGCTGAAAGGTTGGTGGGATGACCACAGCTCCTGTTGTGTTACACCATGAATACAGAGGACAAATAGCTTTGATTTTTGAGGACATCAAGTTGTAGCGTTGAGCACGTGGGCTGTATTGAGGCTTAATACTAGCACGGAAAGAAAACGTAGTTTTCCTGGTTTCAGTGGTGTTGGTTGTTGTATTCACTGTTGAGACATCCCAGCACAATTGAATTCTAGCATTATAGATTGACAAATAAATACCTTTTACATAGTGTAATAAATTAATACTGATGAGCACATTCTCACTATAAATATACAAATACTAAAATGCATAGCTTAAAATTATTTTTCCAAGATTTCTGGGGAAATTAAACTTCCTGTATGTTCTATCTTAACAGAACAACAGCATAACACATATCATTACCTCTCTTATTCTGGAATGTATTCATAGAATCATAGAATGGTTTAGGTTGGAAGGGGCCTTAAAGATCATTGAGTTCCAACCCCCCTGCCATGGGCAGGGACACCTCCCACTAGACCAGGTTGCTCAAACCCCATCCAGCCTGGGCTTGAACACCTCCAGGGATGGGGCATCCACAGCTTCTCTGGGCAACCTGTTCCAGTGCCTCACCACTCTCATAGTGAAAAATTTCTTCCTAATATGTAATCTAAATCTCCCCTCTTCTAGTTTGAAGCCATTCCCCCTCGTCCTATCACTACATGCCCTTGTAAAAAGTCCCACTCCAGCTTTCCTGTAGGCCCCCTTTGTTTTGAGTGCAAGGTCAAAGAACTGTATTTGTTTCTGGTGATTCACACAGTACAACTTTTCTTTTCCTCTACAGGACCAATTTATGCTGAAATGATCCAGAACCTGCTTCTGCCAGTCCTTCAAAATAAGGAATGTAATTTGGTTCGTTATAATGTAATTAATGCATTACCCAATACGGCAGATTCTCTCATAGGGAGAGCTGCACACATTGCTGTTCTTGATTCAGAAATATTTTTAGAAAAATTCTTTCTTGTTGCTGCCCTAAAATATTTTCAGTAGAGGAAAGTGTTGTAAGAGACTTGGTTATTACCTCATTAACAGATGAATCAAATAATGTGTGGTATTAAAGTATAGCTGCAGCTGTATTTTAAGAGATATTTATACTTTTTATATGGAAGATAATTTATATCATCCACACTTAGGGCTTTTTAACATCGACTTTACTTTCTAGGTAATGTGGCTGTGCAATATTTTTTTTATTTTGTTCTTTTTACTTTTCTATTACTTTTTCTTAATTTTGGGTACCTAATTATTTGAAGATTAAAGTACAGTCTGTACTTTTGGTTGGTTTATTTTTGGCTCTTAGACTACAAAAGTCAATGTTACTCAGCTACATTTTACAGGAGGCTTTAGACACCAAAATAAATTGGATTTTAAAATTCAAATAAGGTCTTACACGTTCAGTTGTTGTATTTTAGCACTGTAGGAAGTTTAACTGGAAACCTAATGAGCTGCTAAAATACTGGATATTTGAAAATTACTGTTTCTGTGGGTCCCGCAAAGACCGTTACCGAGTTGTCTGTTCAGCTATCACTACAGCTTAACAGTTTTCTACAAAATCGTTATCATCATTGTTAAATATGTTCTGCCTGTGGGAATATATTTTCTACTGATCTCAAAACCATGTTAGTTTACATACTCAATTTTATTACTGGAACTTCAGTTTTCAGAAGCAAATGGCAACTAAGGGGTTTTGAATGTTTAATGATAGCTGCCTTCAAATAATTGGGGTTTTGCAAACTGTATTAAAGTTGCTCCTTACTCTGTCAGTTCTTCAGATGAACATGGACAGTTTTACATGGACTTCCTTGTATGTACGTAAAATAAGTAAATGTTATAAATTTCTGCAATACTTTTATGAATTTAAGCAATTTTTAAATATTGTTAAAATGTTTTATTGACTACAAAGTATTGTAAATAGAAATCAATACATCTTCAAATGGGACAATATTGTAAACTTTACCTGTTTAGTGATACAGATAAAATGTTTTTGATATACAGGAATGTTAAAGGTCTATTGACTTTCTACTGGTGCTGAATAGCATTAAGTTTGGTTTCTCCTTCCTTCCCT